CACAGCGGTGGAACCTTCAGGGGCCCTTCAGAGATGGTGTCTAGCCCGGGGTACCTCTTTGCGGCGCCACTGCCCACAATTACCCTGCCAGGGGCTGCGGTGCCCCTATGGGCCCTCCTAGGGTCGGCGGCGCTGCTATGGGCCCTGCTACTGGCAGTGGGTGCCTTTCCAGGGGCGGCAGGGTCTTTGCCAGGGGCGAAGGCGCCCCCAGGGGCCCTTCCACATGCGGCATCGCCCCAAAACTTCATAGTTTTGTCGTACATTTTGCATTCATCCAGTAATACCTTACTTAACTGTGATTGGTGGAATAAGAGGTGACGTCATCAAATTTCAGCCAATAGGAGAACAGAGCAATCAGTCAGCACAACACCCCAACTTATGCTTTGCTGTTGGATATTTATTCTCGTTTCACTATTTAAATTCTGGGAGATATGACATTAAATAAATACACCGCCCATCGCATTTTCAGTATTATCGCAACCTGAACAATAAAAAGGAGAATAAATATCCAACAGCAAAACATAAGTTGGGGTGTTGTGCTAAATGATTGCTCTGTTTTCCTATTGGCTGTAATTTGATGACGTTACCTCTTATTCCACCAATCACAGTTAAGTAAGAGATTACTGGAAGAATGCACTATGTACGACACAACTATCCATTGTTTTGGGGCGCCGCCTCCCCTAGGAGGGCCTATTGTGAGCCACAGGCCTTGGTAGGGTCCCTGGGAGCAGTGGCACCCCTTAAAGAGGCCAGGGGGGAGCCACCGACTCTGGAAGGGCCCCTAAAGGCGCCACGCCGCTGGCAGGGCCTCTAGGAGAGCCTCTGGTTGCACCACGGCCCCTAGGAACGTACCTGGAGGCGCCCTCGTCCCTGGAAAAACAAATGGGGTCACCCTACCGGTGGCTGCGGCGCCCCTATGGGCTCTCCTAGGGCCGGCGGCGCTGCTATGGGCCCTGCTAGTGGCAGTGGGTGCCTTTCCAGGGGCGGCAGGGTCTCAGCCAGGGGCGATGACGCCCCCAGGGGCCCTTCCACATGCTGCATCGGCCCAAAAACTTCATAGTTTTGTCGTACATTTTGCATTCATCCAGTAATCCCTTACTTAACTGTGATTGGTGGAATAAGATGTAACGTCATCAAATTACAGCCAATAGGAGTACAGAGCAATCAGTCAGCACAACACCCCAACTTATGCTTTGCTGTTGGATATTTATTCTCGTTTCACTACTTAAATTCTGGGAGATATGACGTTAAATAAATACACCGCCCATCGCATTTTCAGTATTTTTGCCTCATTTACACACAATTGCAGGGTCTCAATTCTTTCTCTTATTATTGGCAACACAACATACAGACTGTCGTTTCTCACTATTGATTGATTTTTTTCATTTTTGTATTTATTTATTTATTATTATTATTATTATTATTATTATTATTATTATTATTATTATTATTATTATTATTATAATATTTCGTCCCCCAGGCCCTGATATGGGTCAGTGACCTGTGCCCGGGTGGGATAATCCCCGTAAAAAATAAATAAAATGAATAAATATATAAATAAATAAATAAATAAATAAATAAATAAATAAATACACCGACAATCGCATTTTCAGTATCATTGCATCCTGGGTAATGAAAAGTAGAATAAATATCCAACAGCAAAACATAAGCTGGGATTTGTGCTGACTGACTGCTCTGTTCTCCCATTGGCTGTAATTTGGAGGAGATACAGTTTAGTCCGCCAATTACAGTTAAGCAAGGGATTGCTGGAGGTATGCAATATGTACAACACCACGACCAAGCAAGTTATAGGGCTCCTGGGATGGGGCGCCACCACCACTGCGAGGACCCCTGGGGTGCCGCCGCCTCTGGGAGGGCCCGTAGGGCACTGCGGCTCCTGATAGGTACCCTGGGGGTGCCGCCGCCCCTGGGCGTGCAAACGCCCCTTGGAGAGCCCCTGGGTGTGCAGCTGGGAGGTCCTTTTTGGGCATCCGCCCCCCAGAAGGGGTGCTGCCGCCGCAGGGGGACCATAGGAGGGTCCCGGCCGCCCCTAGGAGGGCCCTTGGGGACCTCACCGCCCCTGGGAGGGCCCATTGGTGCCCTTGGAAGGACCCCCTGCGTTTGCCGTCGCCCGTGGGAGGGCCCCTGGGCAGACCCTGTATATGCCGACATCCTTGAGAGAGCCCTGGGAACCTCGCCACCACTGGGAGGGCCCCTGGGATCGCTGCCGCCCTTGGGAGGGTCTCTGGGTTCGCTGCCGTCCCTGGGAGAGCCCCTGGGGGTACTGGCGCACTTGGGAGGGTTCTAGTGAGCGTGGCCACATCTGTGAGGATCTTTGGGAGTGCCGCTGGTCTAGTGAAGGCCCCTGGAGGCCCAGCTGTCACTGGGATGGCCCCTTGGGACGTAGCTGCCTCTGGGAGGGCCACTGGTGGCCTCACCGCCCCTTGCAGGGGCCCTGGTGCCCTTGGAAGGATTCCAGGACTTCCCGTCACCCCCGGGAGGGCCCTTGGGGACGCCGCTGCCCCTGGGAGGGCCTCTGGGGGCGCCACTGCTCTTGCAAGGGCCCCTGGCGGCGGCGCCGCCCCTGGGATGGCCCCTGTGGGCACTGTATCTCCTTGAAGGTCTCCTGGGGGCACTACTGTACCTCGCTGTCGTCCCTGGGTGGATCCCTGGGGGAAACGCAAATCGCTGGGAGGGCTCCTGGGGTTGTTGCCGCCCCTGGGAGAGCACCTGTTGATGCTGGCGCCCCTGGGAGGTCCACTGGGGTCGCCGCCACGCCTGGAAGTTCTCATTGGTGGCGCTACTGCACCTACCAGGTCTCCTGGGGGCAGTTGTTTATGCACTATTTAGAACTATGAGAGATATGACGTGAAATAAATACACCGCCAATCGCATATCCAGTAGTAGTATCATTGCATCCTGAACAATGAAAAGGAGAATAAATATCCAACAGGAAAACATAAGTTGGGGTGTTGTGCTGACTGACTGCTCTGTTCTCCTATTGGCTGTAATTTGGTGGATGTACAGTTTAGTCCACCAATCACAGCTAAGTAAGGGATTACTGGACGTATGCAATATGTACAACACCACGACCAAGCAAGCTATAGGGCTTCTGGGAGGGGGCGCCCCTGGTAGTGCCTCTGGGAGGGTCCCTGATGACGTACACACCCCTAGGGAAGTCGCCGCCTGTGGGGGGAGGGGGGCCTCTGGGTGCGCTGCAACCACTGGGAGGACCCCTGGAGGCGCCGCCACCATTCGGAGTACCCTAGGGCTCCGCAGCCCTAGTGGAGGTCCCCTGGGGGTGCCGCTGCCCCTGGGAACTCCTCTGCCCCTAAGGAGGGCCCCTGGGAGGTCCCTTGGGGGTGCCCGTCACCCCTGGGGATGCTGTCTCCCCTGGGAGGGTCTTTTGGGCACTGCCACATCTGGGGGTTTCCCCTAGAAGGACCCATGGGAGGGTCCCGATCGCCCCTAAGAGGGCACAATGTGTAATTGCTCGAAACAAGGCTAATATAGTACATAAGAACATAATAAATTAAGGAGTCTGCAATAGGCTGGTTGGCCTGTGCATGGCAACTCCTGTCGAGAGTTACTACCACTCTCTATCATCCATGAATCTATCTAGCCTCAATTTGAAACTTTCCAGCGTTCCAGCACTTACTACAAAGTTGCTAAGCCTGTTCGACTCGTCCACCACCCTATTTGTGAACCAGTTCCTTCCCATCTCCCTCCTAAACCTAAACTTATCCAACTTAAATCCGTTGCTACGAGTCCTATCCTGCTCGAATATTATAAGAACTTTATCTATATCTCCTTTATTGATTCCTTTCACCCACTTAAATTCTTGTATCATATCTCCCTGCACTCTTCGTCTTTCTAGAGAATGTAACTTTAGTTTCTTTAACCTATCCTGATATGGAAGGTTTCTAAGTCCCGGAATCATTTTCGTCATTCTTCGCTGCACCGACTCTAGTGAATTGATATCCATTCTATAATAAGGGCACCAGAACTGAACCGCATAATCGAGGTGCGGCCTGACTAGCGCAAGATATAGTTGCAATAAGACCTCTGCACTCTCATTACTTACACTTCTAGATATAAAACCTAATACTCTGTTTGACTTATTTCGAACATTAACACACTGTTTTCTAAGCCGTAGGTCCGGGCGTACAAGTACCCATAAGTCTCTTTCACAAGTCTACTTCTTGTGTTCATACAAAGGAGTGTTAGTTACAAGACTAGCGAGGTCATCCTAAAACAATATCTTGAGCTTGTGAGACCTCGCTTGGATTACACAGTTCAATTCTGGTCATCGTATTACAGAATGGATATAGAATCCAAGAAAGAATTCAGAGCAGAATGTCAAGACTAATCCTGGGCATTAGGAACCTTGAGCGCAGAGACATGTTAAAGCATCTTAATTTGCACTCCCTCGAGAGACGTAGAGTGAGGGGCGACATAATCGAGGTGCATAAATGGAAGTCGGGGCTAAACAAAGGTGATATAACAAAGGTACTCAAGCTATCCAACCAGGAGCGAACTCGTAACAATGATTTTAAATTAGACAAATTTAGATTTAGGCGTGAAATAGGTAAACATTGGTTTGGAAATAGAGTAGTGGACAATTGGAACACGTTAGCAAACATCATCATTAACTCGAATATGCTGGATAGCTTCAAACACAGGTTGGATGGATATATGAGCGATAGGGACTGCCCAGTATGGGCCAATAGGCCCGCTGCAGCTTCCTCCAGTCTTATGTTCTGAGTTGCCCATCCTTACTCAGCTGATGACCAGGTCTGGGGTGATTCCTCCTGTCCACCTCTTGAGTTACACTTGATACTTGTTTACATACACTTCAAGCGTTGGACTTACAGTACATCTAGTCTCAAACTCAACATCTTCAACTGCCGTTTTGGGTAACTAACAACACTTCCCCTCGCCTCCAGTTTCCCCTGATCCCACACCACAGCAATACTGAACAGGATAAGAAATAAAATATCTTAGAGGTACATTTTATTAACCACAAAAAAAATCAAAATACTAGACATAATTAGGACACTACTACAAGGTGTTACGCTAGTGAAGGATACTCACCCCTGCCTACGACTGCACATAACCAGGATAGTAACCTCTAAACTTGGCTAACATAAGGACCATAACTATCTTGTCTTAACCAGCTTTGTGTTATATCAATTTTATGCGTGTACAATTTCGTGTCTGGTTGAACCTGCTGGCCGGCGGCGTCTGAGTACAGCGTAACGTTCTTATTAGAAGCGGCATCAAGACCTCGCACCATACAGCCTCACCATCATGTGCGGCATTCAAATAATGCGTAGAGTCCATACTAGACTTAAAATCCGGCCAAACAGTCATGCCCGGCTAAACAGTCATGTCCGGCCAAACGGTAATGTCCGGCCATAGAGTAATGTCCGGCCAAACGGTAATGTCCGGCCATAGAGTAATGTCCGGCCAAACAGTAATGTCCGGCCAAACAGTAATGTTCAGCCAAACAGTAATTTTCAGTCAAACAGTAATGTCCAAGCAATCGTAGCGTCCGAATTATTGAGAGTATCTAAAAGGTAGACATTGTGCAACTAGTAACAATGTGCAGAAGATTAAGAGTTACGAGAGGGAAGAGGAACAGTGACAGGCACTGCTAGACAACATGCAGGAAGGTCACATGACACTCCCACCACTCATGGGTAATGCTCGTCAAGGCAAAAGCTGGGTAGGTCTGGCACGTGAGGCCAGTTACATGACTGAACATTTGATGTGTTAGGAACAATTCTTGTTTAAAACAAGATCACTACAAACTGGCTATGCATAGTAATATAAATAATAAAAGTTTACTGTTACTTCTAAACAAAAACTATTGTTACTATTAGCCATTTCTAAGAGAACTCTACCAACTCGCCAGGTGTAACAACTAGTACAGTAAAAGACTTCAGTACTGTACTTAACAAGGCGCCTAGTGGACGTACACACGAACACGTTATCCTCACACAGGACAAACAACAAATCACCCACAATTAACTAAACTGCTAATAATCAACAACAAAATTCTAAACCTTTATATCAGAATCATTAACTTAGGGCGCGTCAGTATGGAGTTTCTCCGTTTCCTTTACGGTTTTAATTTCTCTTATTATTATTTATAGAGAAGATGTTTACATTCTATAACTGTTGGCTAAATTAACTTAGTCTACTTCCCGTCACCTTTGGCCCCTAAGACAAATAGGACTAGTTCTTCTTGGAGAGGAACCCTATATGACATCACAGCTACTGTAGTTGAAGGATAGTGGGAATATTCCTCACTAAAGACGACAGTTATCTACTAACAAGTGTTGGTGTTATCCAGAAGGCACTAAATAATCCCTGTAGCAGCTGGTGGCTCCCTGCTGCGGTCCTGACGCCTACCTCACTCACCCGCCGTCAAGCACCTGAGGACTGGCTGACACAACACCACGACACTCTACCACTTGGCCTCCTGTTGGACAAACTGTTCTCCTGAGACAGGGAAATAAAGAGGCTGCAGCAGTGAGAAACTAAAGTGTCATTAAGTTGTGCAGTATATTCAGCAAGCTTGAGGATGGTAAGATTTTAATTAATAATTTACAACTCTGTGCCCAGCCAAGACACCACCTCCAGATGTACTCTCTGTCCAGCTTGCTTCAAGAGACTGACAGCTGAGGCGTGGCGCACCTGTTCCAGTGAGTGACCATCGACGGAAAGAAGTCTATCGCCACAACGCAGCTTACCATCTATAGCAGCTGGGGACGACTGAACCACGAAGAGGACGTGGATGGGTTCAGCACCACGCTGGGGGTCAGACCCACCAACTATGCTGAAGCCAAGGGAAGCACCAGGAGCCCGGTGAAGCACAACGCTCTTAGATACATGCAAGGAACGTGGCAACTTTTGCCAGTACAACCAAGATGGCACAAAATTGGCTGAGCCCAGCGACGTCTCAGGACCATCCAGCAGGGAAAGTGTGACTCCCGCCAGCTCCGCAGTGGCCTTCAGCAGTGCTACTGCCTGTCCGTGGGTCAGCCCCAATAGCGACTGTCCATTCACTGACAGCAACACGTCGCCCTTCTGTCAACGAGAAACATTATTTTGTTACTGTGCCCCGGTGCTAAAGTATATAATTATGCATTTATCATTTATTCTGCTTCCTCCCTTATGTTAACAGAACTTGGTGACCACAGCCCTACATAATGTTAACAGTACTTGGTGACCACAGCCCTACATAATGTCAACAGTACTTGGTGAC